GGGAAAGAGATGGGAGAGACACCATAAAAAAAATTTCTTACGTATTTGACAGCGTTCATTCTGTATTTTATCAAAATGCATAGATACTAAGCTCATTCAACACAGATACTATATATTGTGGTTCCCTCCAATAGAACTTAGTTTACAGTATAGTTAAACATAACTTAAAGCATAAACAATCAGCACAAAATGTAATGCAAATTTTCAACTGCATTTCTTAAATTAAACTCAAGAATAAAGAACATCTTACCTCTTAATGAAAGCAAAGACTATGGCTGCATAAAGTGTTTTGTTTGAATGTTAAAAAGGTTATGGATTGACTTTACATGAAAATATCTATAAATACGCAAATTCAAGGACACTCATGCACTATCAGTACACAACAAGCAACTAGGCAGCCTAATCCTAAGGATAGGGCAAAATTAGTAAAATTACTGGTAGGGCAATGATAACCTAACTACAGTTGCTAGGCCAGAACCTTTGTCTTGCCTTATACATTAAAATCCTTAGCAAAACAAATGACAGTTAATGGGAAAATTGTTGGCAATCGACTGAAAATTTAAAGTGTCTTGCAATGATGATGTCTTATTTCACCTCACCCACCTTTTAATATCTATGCCAGAGGGGATATTATAAAAGGATATGCTACATATTGCATCAAGAGAAAAAATGAAGTACAGAAAACAGAACTACTCTCAATAGGATTAGTCCTCTTTATCCCATAAATACAAGAAATCATCCTCCTTTGTTTCAGTGCACAGTGAAAAAAACCCAAATACCTTAAGTTCAAGTTGCAGCTGCTTTGGAATCCCTGATGACTTTTTGTTTTGTTTCTCTTAAAAAAACTTTCTGTATAGAAGCCCCAAGCAACTAGGAAGGCAATGCATTGGCTGAATTAATGGCACAAGGTAGCAATACAGAAGATTATTCTTCTTTGAGAAAGTTTTCTTCAGAAACAAAACCCCAAATGAGCCCACAAGCATACATATTTGCTTCCATTCTAAACAAAATAAAAAACTACTCAGCCAGACTCATCCATGAAATAATTTCTGCCATATTTTATGTATATAAATGCCAAAACTTGGTCGCTGGATGACAGAACTACCTGATGCTTGAAAGAAGTACCTGGTGCGCAACCACCACCAGAGCATGAAGGATCTCGTAAGCATCTCTACCCCTGGTCCCCAGTGCCACAGCACAGGAGGATTTGTGGTGCAGGGCCGTTCAGTGGCCTGAAACCAAATCACCTAGCACTCAGCATAGCTAGTCCAGCTATTAGGGTCTTGGGTTGGAGCTTACCAGGGTCATCATGACATAAACCAGCCCAAGCAACGATCAAAATTCTGACTAATTTATCTTAGAGATAAGCCTCAGTCATCTTGAGTTATCTGACATTATGTGTATAAGTTGTTTTCAGCAATTTAATATTTATGTGCAGGTTTCTCATTAACACCTGTCTGCCTTACAACTAACAAGGACTAAGGCCTTTCAAATAATTTTATGGAGAGAGACTTCACAGACAAGGATATGATTTTTGCTCTGCAAGGACATCAGATATGGCTATACAAGTACTTGTTATTTTTTGCTTTAGTTTCCTCTTTTCAAAATCAGAATTTTTATATAGACAAATGCAAGAACAACTAGGAGAACTTTACCTACTAATGAAGTGAGGAGACATATATAGAAAGAAAACTACAACTTTTTTTATTTTAGGATTATTTTCTACTTTGCTTACCAGTGTTGCCATGCTAACCATTGAAATTACAATTATCTATGCTGGGTGTCCAACACCTATTATTTAATTTAAGTTTTTGAGATATAAGCTTAAGTACTTCTGCCATTTCTGAAAATATCAGAGAAAATACAGCTTGTGTAGATAAGCAGCTGCTATGTATTAGAAACAGTAAGTTCATATGATCATTTTAATAAATATTATTGTCTATAGGCAGGACATGTAAATAAAATAGGAATTGTATAAAAGACAACTAAATAATTTATGCGTTGTAGCACATTCCTAACACTGCTTTCATGTTATTGCTTTCATATTACTAAATTACACAATTTGAAAATAAAAAAAAAGATATTGTAAAATAGAAATAAACAATACAAATATTTTAGATTAAACTAGCTGTTTTGCTCGATTTCATTCAGAAAGGGGGGGATGTTACACAAACTAAAGCTTAATCTAATGAAAGTTTCTGGTGCAGTTATGTTTAGCTCGTCCTTTTGTAACTTAAAGATGCATCTGAAAAAGAATGTTGATGCTTCTTACATGCTGACATATTTCAGATCATACTGAAAACATAAAAAACAATGTTCATCTGCTCAGTGTTACAAATGAATTCTGAACTGTTCAGAATTGTTTTAGAGTCAAAAATGAGAAAGCATGCAGCTTTGCCCTCACCCCCTGCTGTTTTAAAATGTTTCATTTATGATGATTTTAATGTAACTTTTCAGAATAGACATACAACAACTGGCATATATCCTACCTTAAATGTAGAAAGTCCATAAAGTCTTGCAGTGTGAACAGTCACTTGTGAAATATTTGTAATGTTAGATATAAAATCCTCAAGGTATTTACAGGCTTGTTCCAGGTGTGTTGTGTTTATGATGATTTGAACAAGCTACAAGAGACAAAAATCCTTGTAAAAATCCCTTGTGTATCACTCATTGTCATTTGATTTTGTAAATAGTTATTTCTTTTAGAAACAATGGTACTACAAAATAATTACAGTGTTTCAGGTTACCACATATTACCTGTTAGCTTTTGAGTTTGTTTTCAAATATCACTAAGGAGTAATACTATAGTTTATACAGAAACGATGCCATTTTAAAAATGAAGACTGCAGACACCTACTCTGAAATAAATCCAATTGATGAATTAGAGCTTAACAAAGGAAAATATATTGCCAAAAGCAAATCATTGATTTGTACCCTAAATACATATTTTTAAAAAACCTGCTATTAAAAAAAAAGTATTTCACAATATTGTCAGCAGAATGATGCGTTCTGAAGTTGGGGAAATTTAAAAAATAAAGTTGTCAACTCCTTCCCCCCCAGCAACAGTAACAACCTGCTTCTAAACGGTACAAGTGTCTTTATAAGCAGGACCTGCATTCACATTAGGTTCACAAATTAGACAACATAACATAATGCATTGTAACTGAGATATCATCATATTGTATCTTAATTCTCACTGCATACTCTCTGTTTTAGTGAATGCCAATGTAATGCTTGGTAAAATTAGTTTTATTTTTTTAACATTTTTCTCATTAAACATATTGACTTGATAACAAAACACCTCAAAAAATACTAGTGAATTTATTTTCATATCCTTGAACATATTCCTTCAAGAACATACAAAAATTGTATGGCTTGCCTTACTAACATGGCAATATATGATTTATAGAGCTTTTTCCTCCTCATCATCATCTTGATTTCAGCTATACAAGAGGTTCTTGCAGTTCAAAAAATGGCATTCAGTACAACATGATACTGCTCTAACAGCAAAAGTCTAAGTCCTTCTCAGCATGTTTCAGAAGGTACCTGCTGTCTCCTGACATTGCATGTACCTACAGCAAATGTTCAGTGATTCACTGCCTCATCCTCTCTTACTCTGTTGAATAGACAAATTAAACCAAGAGTCCTGATGAAAAAACAACATGCACAAACCTACTAAAGTATTCTAATTGCAATTACTATAGAAAAAGTTTAGTGTGTTAGAGCGAGCTTGAGATTTTAGATTTCTTTACCTAGTAGGTTTACTCTGAAACTTTACAGTTTATGTTCTCTACACATGTTTTTCTCCCATGCCCCTCTTCTTTTTTTTATAGGAAGAAAAGAAACTTAACAACATGCTGCTAATTGCTATATATGAGCAGAACACACAAACCATGCTCTGTATGGAATCAAAGAAGTAAGAGTCTTTGCCATATCTTCTTGCAAATCTCTGTTTATCATACAGGATACACTACTTGGTTTTTTTACACAGATCTTGATACTACAGTATGTCTACATTTTCAAGAATAGTTTTAGCACTAATTGCCTTAAAAAGCACAGTTTAGTTTTAAAACTTACCTCTGTTAAACCTATATGAGGTTTTTTAATTAGGTTCTGTAAACAACTACTTAGAGTTCTTGTAAGCAGCAAATTTGTAGATTTTCTGAGCATATCATCTATTTCTGTTGAACTGAAAAAAAAATGAGTTTATTTTTATAACTCTGCTGTACATGACAATACTTTGACAGTAATTCTTAATATTTTAATTGTTTTTCCCTACAAAGGGAACTTTTCACATTTCTGGTTGCTTCAAGACTTTTCTGATCTAACACACACAACACCTCTTTCACTTACCAAATTATCCATTAACTAAATTTCAACACTGAAGTAAAATCTGTTATTTTTAGATTCTGGACATGTTTATTGACACAGCAGTTTGGAAAAAGTAATTTGTGGGTTTTAATGAGTTACTAAAGGTCAACATGCGCTCATTAGTATGTGTAAATTATAAACAGTATCAATTAAGAATGTCTGAAAGCGAGTCATTTACATCTTTAACGGTGTATAAGTGAGTGACTGGCCACAAATACCTTCCAGACTTCAGATCTGTGAATGTTATTTTATGCAATTAAAACTAAGCTTTTGAAGGCCACAAAAAGAAAGGAAATTGGACAACTGTGATGTTTTTCACCTGAAAAAGGTGGGATGGAAGAGGGAATGAGTGGGCAGACAGTATGTTTTCTTGCAGGAGAAATAATTGCTAAGGAAACTTAAAGCACAGAGAAGGAAAAGACTGAAGTAATCAGGGATGCTACTCAATTACTTCTGAAATGGTCAGTATCAAAGTATATTTTTCCAATCTTATATGCTTTGTCTAATAAATAAAATCCCCAGATTATATGAACCAGTCAATACTGTTTAAAAAACCCCCAGAGTGTTTTAGACTGCTTACCATGCCAAGATACGTTCACCCATACCAACATAGACATATTGTATACGATACACATATACACATATGAAATGTATATTATAGCATTGGTAATAATAAATGAAATAGAAATAATTAAATATATTAATTCTATGTAAATTATTAACCAGCTAGCAAGTACACAAGAAAATACATTTTCATTTTAATGCATATTTTTAGGTCACCTGGAAGTTATAGTCACATATATATATACCTATGGTCTCATTCCTGATACTATAAGCTTACCTGCGGTGAAGTGACTCTGAAAATTTAAGGCTTGCATAAATAAATTCCTTAACCTGGATATAAATCTGAGGCACTGACTGAGACATTGGAAGCTTCTTTGGAAAGGATTGCTGTGAAAATAAAAGATAATACTATCTTATGCTTGAAACTGATTCTAAGGAAAGCTTGATGTTAAATACAACAATTAGAAAGCCATTTAACACTATCAGTATTTTAATCTACCTTAAGCTTTTCTTGCTTTCATCAGACAGTGGTATGTATTGAGCTGATTTCTACATCTGATTAGATAGCTTATAAGTGACACAGAACTTTATCACTTATTTAAATTATTATAAAGATTGGAGATTTTAAGTAATTTAAGATCCTTCTATAGAAAGCAATTTACAAGCACACATTAAAAATGGTCTGAACCTGCTTTTAATCTGAATAGATAGATGTAAGTGGGACGAGAGATTAAAAAATGCAAACTTTTTTTTTTGCCTAAGAAAGAAGCACCAAAAAAAAAAAAAAGCAGCATTTGAGAAGTTCAATACATCTGAGGTTTTCAAAGTATCTTGAGAATATTTAGGCATGTATATTTAAGATCATATATTTACTTCCACTTGACGGTTTACAAAACTAAAGCAGTTAACTGATACTGTATTTGGGAGGACAAAAGCATTAATCAACAGCAGCTCGATGTATTAAAAAAGAAAAACCAAACAACAGAACAAAACAGATTAGCTTGACATTCTTCCATTCATACTTCTTTATTTAAGATTAGGTGGTGTAAGTGCCAGGCTTTCATGTCATTCAATAACGACAGCAAACATTTTTTTAACAACAGAATTTACTTCAAATATGTGTTCATCTGATTTAAGCAACTAATTTTTACAGATAAAACAAGTGCTATTACATACAACTATTTTGGACTATTACAATATTCTGTCAGCAGGGCTTGAGTTTCAACCTTCATCTATTCAGTGATCTAGGAGAAGCAATTCTTTATCCTCTACAGTGTCTGGCCAATACAGGAGGACAAACACTTTCTGACTGATTATAAGAGTAGGCAGCAAGAAAGAAAAAAAAAAAACAAAACAAAAAAACAAAACCCAAAAAGCTCCAAGCAATTGTTTCACTTCTAAATACAGAAAAGGAGAAAAATTAGATGATATAATCAATCCATGATAGTTCAGCACATTCAATCTAAATAGCAGAGTGCAGACAAGACTCGTTTGTCCACTCAGATTGGATTTGCTATGTAGGACAATTCTTCCTGATGTGCTGCAAGCAATTCCCACGATAGACTTACCTGTAAAATGTGAGCGTGATTCATCCTAACCTACAGTTAAATATGAGGCACTCACTCACATTTATCTCTTCTTATACTAAATGTGGAGAAATAGACATTTTCAAAAGTGAAATTCCTCTTAATCTGTAAAAGGCATCAGAGATGTATCAAATGGAATTAGCCCTCTGGGGTGTCTATTCCTTTCTATCAACCAGCCTGAACTTACACTTCTTTTTCTTTTTTTTAAACATCAAAATGTAGATTAAATTAACCCATCCAATAGGACCTCCCAGTGCCTTATAGCCTGAGGCAACAACAGAGAACTGAAGTGGATAGGATTATAAACAGCAACCAATAGAAGTGATGTTGGAGTATTCATAAAGTTTCCCCTCCCTGTGGATTCCCTGCTATCTAATAACACATGAGGTAACACTGCAGTCTTTCTTTCAACAAGGATACTTAATGATTCTTCCTCCTCTATTTCACTGCCTAGTTGACAAAACTTTCAAGAACTCAATTATCTTTGAGATGTCTACCCCTTTGCTAAATTTGGTTGAAGTCAACTAAACTGCTACAAAAATAGCTAGGACACAAGAAAAAAATACCTCAGACTGCATAATTTCTAATGATGCCCTTCTGCTTTACATACAGATTTCAAAGGTCTTTTCAGATATATGTAAAAAAAATGTTTTCTCTGCTTTACAGATGAATTAACCGGGACAGAGAAATGTGAAGTGACTTCATAGCACCACATGGCTGCTCAGTGATAAAGTTTGGAACAGAATCCAGCCTGATTCCCAGCTCTACTTTCAAGCTCACCAGTCCAGAAACTAAACATCAGTGAGATTCTGCACACAAAACACCTACAAAAAGTGCTGCTCACTATGAAATAGAAATACTTCTCTGTGTCATAAACCAAAATGAAAATTGTTGGGTACAGAGAGTACATTTTCCTTCTGGTGAAATAAGAGCTAAAGCTTTGTATTAATCATACATACGTGTAACTACACATACCCATTCACATTATGTCCATACACACATGCTAATACATCAGACAGAGTGAGAGAAGCTAGCAGACGAAATTATTTAGTGCAAGTTTAAAAACTCTGCAATTCATTAGCAAAATATGGCATAGTAAATAATACCAGGGTTGTAGCACACTTCCAACACTGTAAAGGATTTCCATCCTGTTTATCTTATGTTAGTATTATAATGCCCAGGTAAACGAATTTGATGGTGGAAAGCATTCAGAAAGCACTCTGGAGCCTTATCCGAAAATAGGCATCTTAATTGAAATACTGTATTAATAACATGCGTACTACATTTGCCTGTTAGATATCTGCTGAATCATAGAATTAGAGTATCTTTTTGCTTTTGCAGGTATCTGTAGCAATGTATAAATTAGCTTCCTTCTGCAAGTTACTTCCATTACCATGTGGTTCTTGTATTTAGTTCCCCTCTACAGACCCCATCATAAGCCTATTATTTCTTCATTTGTAATACCAAAACCATATTTGAACAGCAGAACATATTAATCACCAGTGAAAGAATGGCTGAGGCTATCAAAAACTATCCTATTGGAACACTAGTACAGCAGAATTATTTACAGTCGCTTCACATTTATTTTGCCCCACATGCTCAAACACAAATAATTAATTTCAAAAGTGAAATATGAAAGTTGTTGTCTCTAACTGATCCTTGTTTTACATGTGTTTTTGCACTACTACAGCACATGGGTTATTAAACCCAGTGAGTGGCAACAAAATTTAACTAAAGACAGACTGTATTATAATTATGTAAAGATTATATCAATTATACTGTATTAATTTGTTTACAAACCAATGGGTTTCATTATTGACTCAAACATCAGAGCAAATTACTAAGCTTTAATTCTCGTGTTTACTTATGACTAAATAATTACACACAAAGAAGGTTATTTAGCTTCTTAATCTACCTAACTTCTCAAATTTTAATTGCTTTTTAATTACAAAAATCATTACTGTCCTAAGTATCCTTAACTGGATTTCAGCAAAGTGTAATAACATAAAACTTTTCCTTACCTTATCAAGTTCTGGATCTTGAAAAGGAAATTTGCTTATAACTATTTTGTATTCTTCTTCATTTGCTACAGGAATAGGGCTGTAGTTGTCTGCTTCAAAAATATCCCTGGTGAATTAGTTAAAGCGAAAAAAAAAAAGGACATATAACTTTATTTACATTATTTGCCAGTGTTAAAACATGTAAATTAATATAGATTTTATTACTACACTTAGATGTGCAGCTTCAAAAACTTATGAGTTATACTTGCCATAATTTCAGACATCCAAACTATTTTTAGATGAATATGAAAGTACCTTGTATATGCTCTTTATATTGTGTCTAATCACAGAAAAGTAGCTGAAAGCATTTTGATATGTATGACACAAAGCATAATACAGCAAAAGAACTTGAGATCAACTTGTCTACCCCAGGGTAAACCATAATGAGATGGTAGCCTACACTTTGCCTGCAATAAAGCAGATATTCAGAGTGCCTCACTTAGGTAGCAGAGCTACATATAGCCCCATGGAGATAAATCAGGGAACTTCAACTGGGCATGTGGCTGCAGTTTTAAGTGCCCTCTGGACTCTTCTACTAGTCAAATGGCTATACTAGTCATTTGTACTCTAGATTAAGAGTCTAGAGAGCTTGAGAATCTGAAATGCTCAGTTTAATTTTAAAGTTTTCTGTATTACAATGTAACATATTTTATGGCAAGCAATTTCTGCACATTAAGTCATCACACCCAATCTGTAAACAGGCTTTGGAGTAAAGCCCCAGGTAGCTGCATTCCTGGATTTACAATTTACTCAACCAAGTAATTCCAAGGAAAAGGTGGACACCAATCTGCATAAAAAACCCAACAAAAAAACCAACACGAAATTGTACTGGCAATGTCAGTAGTCTGTCAGGGAGATACACGTATAGGCTAGCTCTAAACAAAGATAACCTACATTAGGAACCTAATGCCCTATTGCAATAACCTAGTGTTACTAGGTTCCTAACGAAGAAAAACAGACGACTTTCTCCTGCATGTTTCTCCAGTAATGTCCCTTTGGAGACCTTCCTTCTCTCCATTAACTACAGAAGCAGTACTCGATGGCTCTTCTAAGTATTAGTTACATGTGATGAATATCTTAGTCCTGTCCAACCTGAAATTCATACACAATACTGAGTTAATCGATTCTTCCAGAATTACACTATCAAAAAACCTGTAAGTTAGACAAAAACAATAGGTGCAATACAAAAGGCACAATTATTTTGAAATACTAACCTGAACAATCCAGACCACTTTTTAAGAAGTGTCTCATTGTATTGGTCTCTTATCTCAAATAAAAGATCAAATAGTCGGTTCACAGGAAAACCATAGCCCTAAAGTATAAAAATGAAAAGAGTAGATAATTCAATAACTAATACACTCAGTTTGTATCACATAACTTCATGGCTCTGAGATGAAGATGAGACTTCTCATTCAATCTTGTCAGTTCTATATGGCAATTATAGTACTTCAAACACAACAGTATAATTAGAAGAGTATATATTAAATTCTTAGCTAATACTTTATCCTATGCTTTCAGTTTTCAAGCAGAAATTTGTCCTATTTCGCTGCAACATTTTAACTTGCTATTTATGCACATAACTAGTCTTTTCTATCAGTCTGTTAAACATTGTAAGAATACTTGCCAATGATGTTAATTTGCTCTTTCAGCTAAAGAGTTAATAGTAACTGGAATGTTATTCTTGCTTAAGATCAGAAGTAAAGCATTTATAAAAGACAAAATGTACACAGATTATAAAGTTAACATTAATTTTGCACAGGTACAAATAACTGGATGCTAGCAGGATAGCCCAGAATGCATACATTTACTTGATTCCTCCTTTTCAGTATTATCAGGGCAAGTAATACATATATTTTTAAAATGCTACTGTTTAATTTTCCTCTTGATTCATATATATGATTCAGGAAAAGCCAAAGCATTGCACTTACCTAAAGGAAAAATCTAACTAAGTATTTCAGTTAAATTACTACTAGAGTATGTACCTGCAAAGTGTCAGCAAATACTACAATGAGATTCTTCAGTTCCAGAACAAGGTCAGGATCACTGCAATAGGACTGAAAGTGAGAAATTCTGGTTTAGTTAAAAGGATTTAAAACATGGGACATACGTTTTCAAAGAATATTAGCACAGAAGGTTAAACTCTTCAGCCTTATCTCTTTACTTGACTGTCTGCTTTAGTAAAAAACAACTTAGACTCGCTTGTCTTCATTCAGGCCAGTTACATAAAAGTAGTTGTTAGATTTCTATATGAACTATCAGTAGTATAAAAGCTCAAAAAAAGTAAACTAAAATACGAGATTCAATAAACATCAGTATGTTGTACTGAGATTCAAAATCAGCAAATTACATTTATTTTAGTTGAACGTAAGCATACATCAAAATGCTTTGCTACATCAACGTCAAGAGTTTTCCACAGGATATTCTTTTGAACACTAAGCCTGGATCTAATTAGTGCTAACTGTGCCACCTCAGTCTCGCAGCTGTATGGGTAAAACTCTATAAAATACTTTCTAAATAAGTTCAAATTACAAATTTGATGGTGAAAAGTCAAGACTAAGTGATTTACTAAATAACTGAAATTTGATTTTCAGAGGTGTCAACTCATACAACTAAGGATTTCACCTCAGTTTCACTATTTGCAATACAGTATAAAGAAAAAATTTTTATAATAGAATAATGTAAAGCAGCATAAGAACACAGTATTGGTTAGGGTCTATCTACCTGATTCACCTTTCTTTAATTTATACTTTCAGAATACTTTATTAAAATAAGGGTTTGGTTTAGAATACCTCATAAGACAACATACATTTACCTAAACATTAGCCTGCACTAGGATGATGGTAGGATGAGATTATGACAAAATTGATTTTGATGGGAGTTATAAATTTTTAGAAGAAATAGCGATCAACTACATGAGAAGATATTGAAGAATTCTTAAGAGATTACATTACTTTTACTCCTTAAATTCCCATATTCTTACATAGGTGTATAAATCCATACACAGACAATTACCTTGTAAAACATTTAGCTTAAATAAATGCTGAATATATCCTCTAAAATGAATTAAAAAGTATGAGAATATCTTGTGTACCACTGATCAGTGAAGTTCCTATGATAAAACTATAGTTTCAATCTGAACTTTTTCCCAATTTTTACTCAGTATATATGGAATGTAAAATATTCCTTGAATTAAAGATCAATTGTAATGAAAATTAAAATAACCCTCCATAAATGAACTGCTTCTAGCAAATAATAAAAAGGGAAAGAAAAAACTCTTCTATTTTTTCTGATAGTAAAAGTTATACCAATAGTAAACTCTGAAGCAATTTACTCTTAGTCAGAGGGAACAACGGTATTCCACTGATTTTCACAGAGGAATAAGAAATATCATGCAGCTATCCAGCATCATTGGAGCTAAGGTAGAAATGTAACTTTATGAGACACTTTGTATGTACTGAAATACTCAATTGATAAAGATTTTTTTCTAATAGTTTTATTTCAACATAAACATATTACTACTACAGCATTGAAGAGAGAGCTCCAAGGGTTTTGCTGGTGGAGTTTATTTTGGAAACACTGCATTTGGAATGATAATTAGGAACTATTTCCTGGTGGTGCTTTCAGTGCTGAACTATTCAATCTGATCTAATGAAGAGGTCAGTTGAGACTAATGAGGAAGGATTGCAATAATAACAGCAGATTAACTCTGCATATTCTAAACTGCTGGACTAAGAGAAGGTTTGGAAGACCCAGTGAGTTGTAAATCAGTGAAGGATTATGCAAATAGCCCATGGCTGCGGATCACAGCCTGATACTGTTGGGAAAAACAAAAGCTTGGCAGGCTTCCTCCCAAATCTGAGCAATTTTTAATCACAAGGAAAAGAAAACATGAGAGGGGTGTAATTTTTCACTTTGTTACTATCCCAGCTTTAAATACACAGAATTCTGAAGTAAGATGATTTAAACTGCAACACTGATAAAACTTCTCACTTACTGAATGTGTTCTAAGAACAGCAATGATCTTGGAAAGGGCCATGTTCCAGAGTTCATCAGTATATGTTCTTGTTACCAATCCTTGGGTTACATGTAAAATGTGGTCTTCTACTACAAAGAAGCTAAACCAAAATAACACTTAAATTATTAAGTTTTCTAATATTAGAACAAATTCTGCCCGTTCACACACAAGCATAGTTATATCCTTCCCCAACTGAGCAGTGACACTTTGATAGGTCTGCTGTTCTGTTTTGCCCAGCACAAAGACAAAATGCGAAAAGTTTGTTTCATGCCAGCTGGAGCCCAGGCTGCTGGAGTGTCCTTGTGGGGCACTATACTAGTAGGATCTGGGTGCTTTTCCCCATTCAGACCCAGCAACAACCACCCACATGATTTGTGCAGAAACTGAATCTTGCAGAAGAAAGTTTTTGGACCATGGGAGAACAGAATCAATATAGTAAAAATGAAATAAATCTTCATTTAGAAAACTTACCCTACAATTTGGCTGAAGTACCTTCTATAGCCTTCTACTGTTTCATGCTTTCAGTGAAAAAAAAAAAAAAAGTTTAGGAATAAAAATACTACTAAGTATTAGCTACAACCCAAGTCAACGCAAAACCAAAAGCATTGGTTACCATGCTTGACTGTGGCTGCAGAACTAATCTTGCTTGTTTCCTCCTTTGTTTTCTGTAGTAATTTTCAAATATTTCTCCATCACCCTAAAAGAAGACAAAACTAGTTAAAACAGGAGCACTGTTTCAGTATGAAAAAGACATTTCTTAAACTAAGGGTAGAATTCTCTTAAACTAAGCCACATATTTCGCTTTTACTTCACACGTAGACCTCCAGCTGACACCAGTGAATTTTTGTGTGCATGAAATATGCAGGAATCACCTTTTTATTTTTTGAAGTAACCTACAGAATGTACTGTAAATAAGAATTTTGCTCATGTGCCTACATTTTGTCAAACAGTATTACGCATTTTAAACAATATTTATGGTTTTATACCACAGGTATATTACCTGTTACTCTGTAACTGAAACCCGTTGTCTCCTAAAATGTTTCTCTACATTATTCAAGAAACTAACTGTAAAGTTGTATTGTAAAGTTAAATTACCAAAACATTTCCGTGAATATATGATACATCTTAACACTGCCTGCATTAGTTTTGCCTGAGGAAAAATACACGACGTTTAATATTTTTTTATTCTCTTTGGAATTGATAAACATAATGAGTGTGGATTTGGATTTTTCTCCTATCATGGTCCTTAAAATACAATGCACTCTGTGCCTAACGATTACATTGTGAGGAATTCATGTAACATCCTACTCATCTCATTAAGATGACCATTCAGTAGAAACCATCTGTTCATTTGAAATCAGTTGATTTCATTGACTCATCTACCTACTGAATGCAATGTAATTTGTATGCAAGCAGAATAAAGCAGCTTAGCATTTTTTGAAAGGTTTTTTTTTTAACTTCATGAGCCTATTATTAGGCCAGTGCTATTTAGAATTCCGTTACTTGGACTTCCTATAAAAATCTTCAAATCAAATTATCACAGAGATTGTATATTACTAAGCCAGCATTACTTACCTAACTCCTTTATAAAATATAAAAAGAAAGTTTAAATTTAGTATTTTAAGTTTATAATGACAATTTCATCATATTTAGAAATATTGTTAACCTAACAAAATCTAAAAGTGAAAAAGAGACTTTGCTTAAAACCAAAAAAACCCCACTTGAAACTGATATACAAATTTTCTAGAACACTTTTGGTTGCAGCACAATTTTACACAGTGTGCTACTAACACATACTGATCAGACATACTAACCATTCACCTCGAGACCAAACAGTCAATGCAGTTTTCAGGTGCACAAAGCTATTACTGAATTCTAATTCTCTACTCAGTCCTGACATAAGTGAAAAAGTGCAGCTGATCTCAAATCCACACCAAAAATGGAGATGTAAAATATGACACAGCCTCTAACAATATCCAGTTTTTGCTTGCTATTTTGCTTTATTATTCTAATTTCCACAAGATTCAGACTGAATATTCCTACATTTTGTAATATTGATCATATCCCCCCAGACATTTGGGTAGCATGGAACACTTAGGGGAACTGCAAAAGCAGTGATACCACTATTCAGGCAGATATGCGTATTTTACACATATGTTTAAGAACACTTAAGTAATTAACATCTTGTGTGTCCCTCATTATGTATATAAAATAAAACATGCAGTCACACCATGAGTATCCATACTCTACCCATCTCAGCTGGCCCATCCAGAATTACTACTACTAGAAGCAATACACTTGCTTGCTTGTGAACTATTACAGTTGAAAAATATGAAAGCGAACATTCAACTTCAAAAAGTAAAATATCTTTTTGAGGTCACCTTAATACATACCAAAACAGAGTAAATGTGCAAACATCTATAGACTGGAGAAAAGTCTACAAGATCTTGGGCAGTTAACACCTAAAGAAGGAAAGGAAAAAGAAAAGTACATAAAGCATAAGCAGCATATAATCTGCAAAATGTGATACATTACCAACAGAACTTGTCCACTTAATAAGGACCCCAAAATAGATGGGTTCTATCACATAATTAGTTGCTTGCAAATTAATTGCTTGACTCTCCCCTCCCTTTGTACTACAGTACTAGATTTTATTTGTGTTACAAGACTGCAATCCTTTCACTGTGTTTTCAAAGTACCATATTTAAAGGTCTGAAATACTCACTGGTTTATTCCATTTATGACTACTAAATATTTGGTAGTTGAAAAAGATCTAACACAAGCTGAAGTCGTCAACACAGGAATGCTGGCTTTAGCAATAGTAGAATAATCCAGTGGGCCACATATCATTTACAGTGGGCAGGTAATGTGTAAAGTAAATTGTAACTGAACCCCCTAGTAATATAAATTCTATCCAGTTAAATGTCCCCAAACATGATGCTAAAGCTAGCATTAATACAACTAATATTTTGGCACTATTTTTCCCCTTAAAATGCTAATCTAGACTGGTGTCACTTGAAGGTATCCTCTGGTTCTTCCTGATTATATTGACTATCTACAGGCAGCACACTGCAAGTTTTGTTCAATAAATCTACAAAATTCACTTCAAATGAGACATAATGATTTAGTATAAAGTTACCTCTTCTTCATGTTCATCATCTTCTTCAAACGTTCTCTTCAATGTAATTTCATTCTTGGATTCCAGAATTCTGCTTCTACCTAAATGCATATTCCGACCATAGTTTACATTATTCTGCTTCTGAAGAGAGGTACTAAAGGTTTTCTGCTGCTGTGCCTGTTTTAAGAGTAGTACCAATAAAGAGGGATGTAATGCAAATTTCATCACTGATGAGTATATGCTATGACATGAAAAACAGGTGGTGCTACTGAACACACATCAATATAACTGTAAAATATATGCATTCTATATCTCAGCCTACACCAATTATTCTGTCTTTAATCATTTTGGGATGATAAATGAGTTCAGTACCTTTTTTCTGCATAATTTTTCCCTAATCTGCAGAACACAATTTTAAAAGTAGAAAAATTTCATAGAATCATAGAATAGTCAGGGTTGGAAAGGACCTTAAGATCATCTAGTTCCAACGCCCCTGCCATGAGCAGGGACACCACACACTAAACTGTGTCGCCAAAGGCTCTGTCCAACCTGGCCTTGAATACCGCCAGGGTTGGAGCATTCACAACTTCCTTGGGCAACCTATCCCAGTGCCTCACCATCCTCACTGTGAAGAACTTCTTCCTTTTATCTAAGTAAAAAGTAATCTGTGATTTTCCTGATCCTAAAGTGCAAACAGAGAATCAATATTTAAATGAAGTAGTTATCACAGATTTTCCAGCTATTTGTTTGTTGTCTTCAGTTAAGCCTTGGTGAACAGCCAGCTGCAGAAGCCAAATGCTTCTTGTTCTTACTACTGAAAGAAATGCAACAAGATAGCACAGTATAATCTTGCAATTAAGTTTAATCTATAATAATCAATACTTCTTTTTACAAGAACCTTATATGACGAAGTGGCAACCGACCCTGAAATCTACCCAAAAAAAAAAAAAAAAAAATCAAACAAAAACTTTATTTGGTCTCCAAATATATTTCAAGGCATTAACTTCTTTAAAGCTCACGCAGTGACAGTGGCAGATTATTTTGTGATGGATGATGCAAGGGCTTCAGCTGTCCCAGTCTCCTTCTGGTTCTCATCTCAGTCCTCTGTATTAGAGGTACTTTAGAAAGAACTAGGCAGTTACCTCAACATTTCTTTTAGTCTTACTCATCTTTGCCAGTTGGCCAGATAGGCTACTCTTCACTTTGGTGTAGTAGCTGCTGAGTCTAGGAGTTGACTACCCAAAGTATTTCACTGTTTTTCATAACTTGAGATACACAGCATTTCTCCTTCCTTTTCCAGGGAGGAAACTACTTCTTGTCTAGGACACAGATACAAATTTGGAAAGAAAGTTTGATGACACCGAGATGTCACACTGCTTCTTCCTGTGTTAGTGTTCCTGTAGGGAACACTAGAATTGACAACTTCTTGTCCAGAAAGTGTTACCCAAGATGTTAGCAAGCATTTCACAGTTCTCCATCTTTACTCAAAGGTCTATGTGATGACAACAATCCTTAGATAAATGTTTGGGCTAACCCAAGACTAAGACACTGATATTTTCAGTAGATAATAGAACTGACATGATCCTGTTAGGTCAGCTTACCTGCTTCATGGCAGTTTCCCCAATTCTGTCAGAATGCTTTCGAATACTTTCCAAGAAATCCTTTAGATCTGACATTGATATTTCTTTTATTTCTTCACGCAGTTTTGGAAGATTTTCTATCATTATCTGGCAAAACCGGTATTGGCTAACTCTAGGAAGATACAGATTTTCTAGCTGTTCCATTGTTTTTAAAGCAGAATAGTATCTACAAAGAGATTAAAATCAAATTATGTAGCCTCTTCTAAAAAATTTAATAAAATGTTTATCAAATATAGGGTATCAGTACCAGGCATGCAATCAATATACATCTATTGAAGTTTGTCTGTTCTTAGAAAAATAAATAAATAAAAAAAAGGTGACTCATAGAACACTTTAGTTTGGAAAAAAACATTGAACTGTCAGAATGACTCGATCAAGTCAAATTTTTAAGTAAGCTCCTATGGTATTAGCTATTCTGATCAATAGAGTCATAGAACCATGGAATCATAGAATGCCTTGATTTGGAAGGGACCTTAAAGATCATCTATTTATAACCCCCATACCATGGGCGAGGATACATTCCACTAGACAGGTTGCTCAAGGTCCCATCCAACCTGGCCATGAGTCCTAACATCACATGGAGCATCCTGCCAAACGCAGGCAGTGAAGTCATAACAATTATCTCCCCTTCTAGATCGACTTTATTTGGGTATTTTATTGGTTCTTTTTTCTGAAACACGAATTGCCAGTCACCCAACATTGCAGTATATGCACCAAACAACGCAAAAAATTTTCCAAAAGTGTGCCTGCATGTATCTGCCTTCTTTAGGTATATGTGAACATGTAACACACATCCACACCCACCCTCTTTCCACCACCCTTAGCTGGAAAAGACATGTATAGCTTAGCTCATGTGATATTTTTTCCAGCAATGTATCATATTTTGCTGTAAACCATGAATCTATTTACTTTTCTGACAAAATACAGTATATCCTACTAAGAAAATGACTACTTTGAACAAGCATTAAGGTCAGAGGTTTTTTTTTAAAACAAAAAAAAAAAAACCAAAACCCAAAAAAACCCCACCACCACCAACAAAACAACAAAGACTCCATAATTTTCTTTATTCTTTTGTGTTCTGTTAGCCTACAGACTATTTGTAGCAGAAATATGGAAGATACAGCCTGACAGGGGGAAAAATAGAACACCAAGCAATACTCTCTCTCATGTCCATACACTATGCAGATATTGTACTATAACGTAGCTATAACTGTGTTGTGAAATTTCACGTAAGAGACAATGAGTTCAAAGAAATACTCAAAACTAAGGGGTTGTGGGGCCAAGACATACTTGCTAAAACCATTTACCAACTTCAGGCCTGTAGCATATAACCAAGATTTTGATGCTTTCAGTTGATGTACAGAAACATTGAAAGAAGGAAAGTTTGACTGAGAGAAATTGGTTTTCCATGCTTCCTCTTACAGAGAGATGAACAGCACAACTGATGATTCAGAGCTGAGTCAAACTCTTTTATGCCTGTTCTTGAAGTCAATATCTTTCTCTATTTCATTTTCAAATGTCATACAGGCTCATAAGGAAGAATGCTTGAGAAACTTTTTACTTTATTGAAAAGATGAAGCAAAATAAAAGTGGGCCAATTCTGAGATAGACAGCTAAACTAAGAAGGCAATAAACAGAAATACTACGATCAACAAATCTTTGATCTCAACAACATTTTAAAGAGAGGTGCGTGAAACAGGTTAAACATGAATAGGACAGCAATTAGTTGTGGATGTGACAACAATCTTCCTCTACGCAGTATTCTCACCACTCAGCCCAGGAGGCTTTTGGAAAAATGCATTTAGTTTTACTTATTAGAACAGAATAAGGTGAAGTGGTGCTTTCTAGCTTGGTTTTGAATGAAGTAGAAAACTTGAAATCAGACTGAACTAACTTTCTGATAGCGCCAAGCCTTTCTTTCCACAAATACAGAGTAATATCCTTAGCCCATTATTTAGCTTTTTATTTTGTAACTTTAGTTCCTTTTTCTTCCTGAAAGTCCTACACAATCAGTACTAGAAAATTACCAAATCATTTTGAAAGGAAAAAGCTGAATATGAGCAAAGTCCCTTCAAATGTTCAAGAAAATCTGGAAAAGTGTCCTTTCCAGTTCTTCTGCTTCTGAATATTACTTTGTAGATACGGTTAGTAAACACTTTCAAAGTGAAACAAAATTCAAGTTGCTGTCTCTCCTTCCATAGACAAACAATAATAAATTATTAATACTACAGTTGTAACTTTTTGTTTCACTCTGAATTCAACACATTCTTTTGAATTTTCTCAATAAAGACATTTCAAAGCTAAGAAATCATCATAGCTGGAGGATGGGGGGAAAGGGAGGAAATCTTCTCTTTTATTCCAGAACACAACTGCTTTCAGGAGACTGCAAATAAAGAGTTTTCAAGTGTAAATTAGGAGCTTTTGTTTATTATATACTTGCTTTATATAAAATATACATAAGGCATCCGGAATGTTGCAGATAAGAGGGGGTCTGGAGGTTTTATGAGTATGGGTTTTGTTTTTTTAAATACTAAGTGACCAGGAGTGCCACATGGTGAGACTTCTGGGGAATAAAACCATAATAGCATCAAAATCGTATAAAAGGGTTTTATTTAAATTATACAGATCAGCTTATCAGAACACTGTTAGCTCATCTGGAAGGTTTTTGACTGCTGTCTCTAAGATCAGAATTAACATAATCCATTTAAAAGGCATTCTAGAGTCCGTTACTTATTATATATATATATGGAGCTTGGGACCTTGCCCTTTTAACATCTGCTCTGATAAAGCACTGAGGTCTTCTTAATTTGAAGGTCATCTGCAGGTCAGGATTTAAACTAAGAAGTTTTGCATATCATTTCATGGAATTATGTATTTGTATATTTTGTTTAAAAACATTCCACAGATTTAACCCAATGCTGAAGATTTTGACAATAATATTATTAGTTCCTATCATATATTATATATCAATTATATAGATGAAATTTGCCCACTCGACTACAAATGAGTTAAAGAAATACCTTCAATGTTATTTTTCCATAGAAATATAGGAGTTGTCTGTCAATTCTTCTGAGCTAATCTTGTAAGAATATGTGCCTCGATGTAAAATTTATAATGTAGTCTTTGAAACTGAAGACACAAGTTTGAAACATCAATAGAGGTCACATGATAAGACTATCCAAAACTGATCTATTTTGTCATCAGAACCAGAAAACTGTACAGCTCCAAATTATAACAGTGGAAACTTCTAAAAATAGCAAGAACCAGGCCTGGAAAGGGAAAAAAAAATAAAAAGGAGAAAGCCACACACGACACCACCCCCCAAACAAAAACAACAAACCCCAGAAATTAATATTAGTGCTTTATATCATCTTACTCTAAAAATTGAGCTGGCATTTTACAAAATGCCCAAGTCCCAGGCGCAGAGTAGTCAGGTCTGTATTAGAATATGAAACTTCAACACAAAAAGTCCAAAAGCAAAAGAAAGTGACTATTACTTTAGTGTACATGAAGTATTGTTGTATTTTAAATGACAGAGAGAACTTTCAAGATTTTTATCAGCAGAGTGTCATTTGGAGTCAGTCAAGAGAAATACTGTAACTTACTAAAATAACCCCCATCAAGTTAAACTAGAGCAGTCGAGAAGCTACACAGAACAGGAGCAAGATTAACTCAAAGGCCGTGAATTCTGCTGAGAATAACGTATTTGTACATAAGCCTTTTGAGTAAAGAAACATACAGTCATGTCCCAA